TGGGTTCTGCAAACCAAGTTGCGGGTGCGTGGGTGGGAAAATTGCGCGAGCAGTGGAGTTGACAACTCCAAGTTTCCAGACGTTAATTGCACCCGCATCGGTTGCGCCACATACGTTGCACCACGCAGATCGCACCGCACACACACATTTTTTAATATATATATATATATATATATATATATATTTAAAGTATATCTATATATATATACACATCTGTATACATCTATATATATATTATATATATAATACTGCCCCCCGGTCCCGGGTCCACTCCCCGTGACGTCTCGGGAACGCTCCTGGTACCGCTCCCCCGGGCGTTCCGGGGAGCCTCCACAGCGCTCCAGGAGGGACCAAGACGACTCCCAGGAGCCCCCAGAATGCGAAAGGATGGTCCAAGACGCTCCCAAGCAGCCCATGTCAGCCTTCCGACGGCTCTCGAGGCTCCCAGGTAACCTCCAAGAAACCCTAAGAGAGGTCCGAGAGGCGTCCCGGGACGGCCCGAAGAGGCCACAATCGTAGATTTTCATTTGGTTTTTTCCATTGTTGTTGGCTTCTCGCGTTTTCGAGCTTCCAACGGTCCAAGAGCGCCGAAGAGGTTCCCAAGACCGTCCTAAGACCACCCAAGAGACCCTCAGGACGGCCCCAAGACGGGCCGAGAAGGCTCCAAGACTGCCGAAGAGGCGCCCAGGCCAGCCCTAGACCACCCCAGAACAGGCCCAACACGGGCCCAAGAGCGGGAGCAGGAGGCTTCCAGAGACCTCCGAGAGGCCTCCGGGACCACCTGGCCCCCAACACACCCCCGACCCCTGAGAGGCCCCAAAAAGACCCCGACGAGGCTCCACGACCAGCCCAAGAGAGCTGCGAGAGCCATCCCGAGAGAGTCCAAAGAGGGTAACATCGTTGAGTTCCCACGGTTTTTCCAATGTTCTTCGCGTTCTCACGTTTTCCCGCTTCCAACCCTCGAGGATCGAGGATTTCGAAAAAATGGGAATTCCCCCAATTCCTTTTTTTCCAAAATTGATTCCTATTCGGAGATCCCATACGTTCTCTGACAGCTGGCCGGACCGCGCCTCCCGGCTTCCCGGGGTCCCCCAAGACGCCCAAGGACAGCCCATGACGACCCTAAGGAGCCCCCAGGACGTAAAGAACGGCCCAACACGCTCCCGCGCAGCCCGAGACACCCTTCCGCACGGGGCGCTGTCGCCGCATTTTTTTGGCCACGGGGGTCCTCACCGATCGATCTGGCTCGAGACGTGCCGCAGGACGATGTCCGGATGGGAGGCCGCCTGCGGCGGAGATCAGGAGAAGGAGGAGACGAGGAGGCAGAGGAGGAAGCGGCACGGGCAGGAACTTCCAGAGCGGACCTCCCAAAGAGGCGTGCGAATCCTTGCCTCTCTTGGTCAGGCCCGCCGCGCGGGCCTGCGCAGAGGACTGTGTTGGAGGAAAGGGGTGGACAGTAGAGGGGATCAACGCATTCGGCTCAGATAGCTGACTTCTCTGGCCCCTCCCGGCGCCAGGAAGCGCCAACGCACAGAGGAAAGGCTCCGGGCGGAGGGGCCGAAAGCAGCTGCATGCAGCACATTCCGTATTCCCCCCTCTCCGAATTCTTCCTCCTTCCTCTTCGTCTGACCAAGCTGCCCGACAACGTCCGAAACGATGACGCCGAACCTCGAACCCCTCTTTTCCCATCTTCTCCCCTGAGATCCGGCGTCGTGAAGGAAGTGCAACCTTGTGAAACATCACGACTGGAGCTACAGTCGGAACCGATGGTAAGGACGGGTAACGCTCCGAGAAGGCCGCGGCGCCCGAGATCCTCCAGAACCGCCAGATCTCAGAGATTCTCGATCTATTCTTACCTGAATCTGTCCTCGTCCTGGAGCCGTTTTAACATCCTGGAGATGGGCCCGAAATGTTGTGTCCAGTCGGGGATTGGGGTCGTCCCCCCGTTATATACATATACACAAACGCGTTCGGAGATCCGCGCGGACTTTCGAAGGTTTATGTTTGCGAAGCTTGTATTTCTGAGCAAGGCGAGCGACCTCGCCTTATTGTCCGCATCCGGAATACCTGCATCCCGCCTGGAGCCCCGGGGTGCTTGGCTCTGCGCCGTCACCCAGCTCAGGGGCAGGCTTCTTCTCCTCCCCCTCATCTACCGCCTCGTTCTCTTCCTCCTCCCCCCCCTCAATGCCCCCCCGCCCTCCCAGCGAGGGATTTTCCGAAGCGTGCCCCGACCGAGGTGTGGGGACCGCGGCACGTGACGGCCTCAGGGGAGGGCCTGGAGTTCAAGTGGTGGGCGACGGTGTCCGCCCAGGAGAGCGGGAGAGGGAAAGTGTTCACATCCTCCTCGTCCTTGTCCTCCCCCTCCCCCTCCTCCTCTCCAGGGGCCAGCAGGGTGTTCCCCCCAGCTCGCGAGTGACACATACCCCTTGCGAACAGTCTCTCAGAACCTTGATGAGTGCTGCACGGCGCGCGTTGCCAGTAACCTCGTGTAGTAGATATGCGATCGTTCGAGGTAGCATGTGCACGCATATCACTCAGTGTGTATAGCTGCATATCACCCCCACACGCGCAAGGCCGAGTCCTATCCTATCCTATCCTCGTCCTCCTCCTCCTCCCCCTCCTTCTCCTCCTCCTCGTCCTCCTCCTCCCTCATCCGCCCCGTCGTCCTCGTCCTTGTCCAGTTCTTCCCCCCCGTTTCCACTGAGGTGCCCGGTCGCAGATCAGTCGGATTTCCCCTGCCACTGCGTCGGCCGAGTCGAGCTGCGATCAGGGCACGGGCCCTATTTCCGCCCGATCGCGATCCGATTCGAGATCGCCACCCGTCGGCTCGATCCGATTCGATTGCGATGCGGCCCGACGTCTGCATGGCGCTGCTGTGCCTCCCCGCGCGGCCGATCCGAGTCGACCTCGCCTCCGACCCGACGCAGCCCGAGCCAGCGCGCCCTCCGACTCGATCCGATCTCCCAGAGTCCATGCCGTCGGCTCCTCCTGGGGCTGGGAGCGGGGCGCCCAGCGGGGGCCGCGGGCGCAGAAGACGCATCCGCAGCCGCGGCCTCGCGGGCCAGGCTCCTCCTCCTCCTCCTCCTCCTCCTCCTCCTCCTTCTCCTCCTCCTCCTCCTCCTCCTCCTCCCCCCTGTGGGCACGGGGGGCGTTTTTTTTGTGCGCGGGCGCCCCGATCACGGCACGCGATCGCGCGGCGGCGTGCCCACGGGATCGCGCCCCCCGGAAGCCAGACCGCGAGGGCGGGGAGATGCGGCGGCGAGCGAGATGCGGCGGGAAGTGAGGAGGGGGAGGGGGCCTCCTCAGCGGGCGGCGGGCCCTCTCAGAAGCCCCCGCGCCTTCTGAGAGGTCCCTCGCGTCCGCGGGGACGGCCCGACAACCTCCTCCGAAGGCCGGGGGGCTTCTCCGAGCCTTCCGAGAAAGCCGGCTCCTCCTTGCTGCCCGGCCGCCGCCTCCTCCTCCCCCTTCCCCCCCCCTTCTCCTTCCCCCTCCCCCTTGCCCTCCCTCCCTCCCCTCTGTCCTCTTGGTCCTGCCTCCCGCCTTCCCCCGCCTCCCTCCCCTCCTCCCCCGTCCCTCCCTCAACCGCCTCCCTCCACCCTCTTCCTCCCTCGCTCCCTCCATGCCTTCCTCCCACTCTCCTGCCTACTCCTTCCCATCCTTCGAGCTTCGAGCTGCGGACCTTTTGTTGCCACTGTCTCCTCCTCCTCCTCCTCCTCGTCCTACTCCTTTTTCTCCCTACTGGCAATTTGGCCCCAAAATTGCCTGGAAAAAGGGACTCGTTTTCAAAATGGTGCTCTCGCCATAGCGCTGTGCGCATTCGTTTTTGTTCAATAACGTTGCAGTAACTTTGCAGACGGAGGATTTTCCTTTCGAAAGTGAGTGAGGCTGGCTCATTAGCGTTGCGAGCGTTCGTCTCACAATCTTGCGACAATTTCAAGAATTGAGCGCATGTCGTTTTTGACGTGGGGCTCTCGCTTCAGCGACGCGCGCAGTCGTTTTCGATGCACTGTTTGGACTGCGCTCTTTCAGCAAGGAGTTGGCGCCAGAGACGTCATTGCTTTCAAAGGCTCGAAGCTTCAACGCACGCAACGCTGTACGTGTCCACTGCGGATTCTTTTCAGAATGGAGTTATGCTTGAGACGTCGTCGAACTTCATGCGCAGCAGTTGCAGCGGAAAGCCATGCCAAGAAATCTCCTGCTTGCCTCCAGGGTGCCCTGGGTTTCTTGGGCTTCGATGGTTCTGCTACAGAAAGCGCGACCTTCCCATACCAGCAATCAAGGGACGCCCTGGGGTCTGGGGGCTACACAATGTTCATTTCTAACTCTTCGACTGGGCCTCTTCCTGGCCACTGGGGGGCCAGGAACAATTAGAAAAAACGACCGTAATTAGAAATGAGCACGATTAGAAATGAACGACGTGTAGGTTTCTTGTGAAAGAGTTCTTGCGGTAGAGCTCTTACCGTACACACCAGAAAGATGCAAGCCACGTCCTGTTCGACGCGGGGCCCTCGCCGGGGTGGCAGGCCCAAGCGTGCTGGCATCTCAAGGGAGGGGGCGCTTTCTTAAGGGAGATGCAGGACTTGCAGGGGCGTGCGAGGCGTGGACTTGGGACGGGAGGGTGTATCGCAGCATCGCTTCTGCATCTCTGTTTTTTCCTGGTCGTCTTCCTCCTCCTCCTCACCTTCCTCCTCGGGACGGGAGGGTGTATTGCAGCACCGCTCATGCATACTTGTTTTCTCCTGTCCTCACCCTTCTCCGCCTCCTCCCCCTCCTCCTCCTCCTCCTCCTCCTCCTCCTCCTCCGCCTCCTCCCCCTCCTCCTCCTCCTCCTCCTCCTCCTCCTCCTCCTCCTCCTCCTCCTCCTCCTCCTCCTCCTCCTCCTCCGCCTCCCCCGTCCCTCCCTTCCCCGCCCACCCTTTCCCCTTTCCCCCCCCCCCCCTTCCTCCCTGCTGCTCCTCCCTGCCTGGCGGCTGGACGCCCCCCCCCCCCTCCGAGGAGAGGATGTGGACCCTGAGCGAGGAGGCCTGCGAGGCGACCCCGCGCGCCCTGGCTGCCCCTGCGGGCCGATCTTCCTTCGGGCCTTGCCCAGCCAGAGGCCTAGACTGAAGTCGGGCCTGTCCCTCTACAGGAGGAATATAACAAAACTGATAAAGAAATAGCCTGGGGACGATTTTTCGACCAATTGTTTTGAATATTTGTTGAATCTGTTTTGAATAATTTTGATTCACCGTCCAAAATGCGCCTGTAGGAGGACATGCCAGACCTAAACATTGCCCAGCCAGAGGTCTATACCCCCTCGAAGTGCGACAGGACCACGGCCGGAGGTGTTTCCGTATTTTTCGGCCTCTGGGGGGCCCATGCAGAGGGGGCGCGCCTCCAGAAGCCGCATGCTTCTCGTCAGGGCACCCTGGGCTTCTCCTCGCTCCGCACGCTGCGCGGGGCAGCTTCCCGCAGCCGCTGCAGAAGCTGCTGCGTCCAGGGCGTTGCAGGTTTCCTCTCAGGTGCACCTCGCGCTCGGATGTTCAGGGCTGGCTTTCTTGCGACGGGTTTCTCGCAGCCGCGTCCGCACTGCCTTTTCGGCCTCTGGGGCCCATAATTACAGGGCCCAGGACCGTCCAAAACGTCTCGGGATGAAAACAATGGCCCCAAGAAACAGGTCGAGATTTCTGGGGGGTCGGCGTCATTAAAATATCATGACGTCGGGGTCTGGGCGAGGGGGGGCCCGAAAAGCAACAACAGTATCAGTGCCACGCTGGCCAGACGGTGCCATCGACCCCCAAGATCCAGACAATAGGGGCACTTGGAAAACATGCGTTCTCAAGGTCTAGGAGGGTTTCCGAGACCTGGGTGGTTTCCATCAGTTACGCTTCGTCGAGAGCGTTTCATGGGTGCTGGAATCGTCCCGAACGGCCGCCGCAGACCCGAGTTATGACCCTTGCCAGCCAGCTAGACGATCCCAGCCAGCCAGCCAGCCAGCCACCCGAGTTATGACCCGAGGATCAATTTCACGCCAGCCAGACGATCCCATCACCGTGTTGAGCACGTGCCAGGTTCTTGCACGCAGAGCGAACACGAGCAGCCTGAAAGATGACGCGCGCGTCATTGATGCTGATTTTCTCTCCCGAAGAAGGTGAGGGGAGCGAAAGGGAGGAGGGGGAGGGGGACGTTGTCCGACTTCCTCGTGCCGTGCAGATGCTGAACCAACGCACGTTTTTTTTGTAGCTTTCGGCCTCCACGGGGGGCCCTCACCGGCCCCCCTCGGGGCCGTCAAATAAATGCTCGGGATTAGAAGCTGCTCCCCAGGATGGGGTCCAGACCTCTGAGGAATCACCGAGCACGTTCCTCTACTCGCAGAGTGCCTGTTCGCGAACGTCCGAGAAGAAAACATGTCTTCCTCTGTGTAGTGGGTCGTAAATCCCACGCGGCGGGTCCAGGCCATTTGCGAGTGGGTACTCTACGAGGAGACACGCTTTTCTATAGAGGAGCCACGCTGCGCAACAAGAATCACGGCGTCGGAAGCGTCGGAGGTCCTGGGGCTGATGCGCTCCGCTGGCCCTGGGGCTCCCCGCCGTTAGCCCATCACGGGGCGGCCGGGTTCCCACTGGGGATTTCTATCTCGGGGCTCGGGATCTCGTGGCAGCCTCCCCGACCGTGCCATGGTCCCATGGTCACAGAGTCCCCCCAGGCACACAGGGTCGTCCAGTCAAAGCCGAAGCTCCAGCTGGCATGGGAATTTTGGGATGGTCTCGGGCCTCTGGGTCTGATCAGGGGGGTCGACTGTCTTGTCGGTCGCATCGCAGCTTTGCAATCCAGTGTCGCATGGTGCCAGACCGCGCCACCGATCATTTTCCATCTCGGCTAGCATATTGTAGCTGAGCCACGCCACTGACTGCTCTGCCACACCAGTTTCCAGCACGATTCGCCTGGCGATTGCAGCCGATTCGTCCGTCTGTTTGAGGGAATAAACACCAGCGGGAGGCTCGAGGGCTTCGGGTTACTCCGCTGAAGCTGGCAGGCGGGCGAGGGGAGGCACCAGCCTGGGTAGTAAAAGCGGGGACACACACACGCAGTCAGGGCGCCGACGTGAGGACCTCTTCGGGCCCAGGATGGGCTCGGGTTTTTTTTTTTTGTGGGGCCGTGCCTTAGATCCTGGGTGGGGGGGCGTGCTCGAGGCCCGGGCTCGCCTTGGCCAGAACAAGGCGATCCGAGCCTTGCTCCGCGTCCCGCACGGCACCTAGCACGGTGATTGTATGCACCTGTTGGCGGCGAGCGAGGGGGGGAAGGAGGAGGCCTTCTCCGAAGGTGGCGGGTCTTCTCAGAAGCCCTCGCGCCTTCCGAGAAGCTTTCTTCGTCTCTGGGGAAGGCTCAGAAGACTTCTTCAGAAGGCCGGGGTACTTTTCCTCGCCGTGTGCTTGGCCGCAGCGAGGACGTCGTCTTCGTCGTCGGTTTGGTCACTGCACTCCACTCCTTCTTCCACCTCCACCTTCCAGCATTCGACCTTCCCCTCCATCCCAGCTGTAGTCCTCCACTTTGACACGCCTGCGCTTGGACTCGTACTTTCGCTCTAACCAGTTTGACCTCCAGCCGGCACCTAGCTGCAGAAATCCCGATTACGACACCACTTCGGCATTCTGACTTTAGCTTCCGAGCCTCTGGCTTGCAACCATGAAGATCTTTGTGTGAGTCAGAGTGTTGCATGGTGTGAGAGGCTACGGCCTCACGCGCCTTGTCCAACTGGGCACAGGAACACGCTTCGCTGCATGAGCCTGCATTTGCACCTCGCTCGCTCGCTCGCTCGTCGTCGCCCCCCTCCTCCTCCTCCTCCAGCTCTAGTAGCAGGCTGCTCGTTTGCCCTAGCATGTGTCAGAGTGCTGCTTTCGAGCCTCCCTCAGAGCTACATTTCTACACTTGGCCATCTGTAGGGATCTCGATTCTACTTGGAGGAGTTCTTGCCAAGAGCATCAGGGGGCCAGAAGAGGAGGAGGAGGAGGAGGTAGAGGAGGAAGAGGGGGAGGGGGGAGGGGGAGGGGGAGTGGAGGGGGAGGAGGAGGAGGAGGAGGAGGAGGAGGAGGAGGAGGAGGAGGAGGAGGAGGAGGAGGAGGAGGAGGAGTTCTTGCCAAGAGCATCAGGGGTGCCGCGGGAAGTGCTGCACAACTTGGCCAGGGCAGCCACGGTGTCGCGGGGGAGCGAGCAGGGGCGAGCTCGCTCGCGGCCAGCAGCGCGGCCCCGTCGGTCGCATCACCCTGGCGCTGGGAGCTTGGGAGGGCAAAGCTCAGCGATCCACTGTCACCCTCCTCCTCCTCCTCCTCCTCCTCCGCCGCACCCTCCTCCTCCTGCTCCTCCTCCTCACCCTCCTCCTGCTCCTCCTCCTCCTCCTCCTCCTCCTCCTCCACTGTAACACTTGGGCCCGATCTCAGGGCAGGCAAGTCAGTTTGTTCTGCGTGCCAGGGCCACCAAGAGAGCCTCGAAGATTGAGAAAGCCAAACTCAGATTTGTTAGGCTTACAGCATAGTCAGAGTCGTAGGCCAGAGTGTCAGGACTATCATACCTCGTGGTATGTTACCAGCGGGTGCTCATGCTCTGGCCATCGACGGAATCTCGGGGACCAACCTGGAGAAACCCAGATAAATGGAGCTTTCAGCGTCTGGCCCAAAGGCGAAAAGCAACAGCAAAAGCAGAACGTCACTATGCCCATGCTTGAAAGTGAACCTGGTAAGTGTGCATTAGCGCCAGTCGTGCGCTGGGCCCAAAACGTTTGGTCAACTGTGGTCGGCAAGGCCATCCCGGGTCGATGAAGATTCCGGAGCTGAAGCAAGTTTGTGAGGCGATCGCTCCTCAGGCCGGGCTCAGGTGTGTCAATTCGAGAACCCGTCTCTGCCGTAGCTCACGCTCTTGGTCGGACCGGCTGGAGTTCCACAGGCCCGCTGACCCTGCGCACGCACGACAATGCGTCGCCGAAGTTGCTGGATCATTGGCTGAGGAAATCAACGCGGCCGCGTGGTTCCACTCATCGAGGCCATGCCCGGGTGAGGCCCTGCCAGGCTGTGTTTTGGACATCGTTCGCACTCGCACGATCTCCGCATCCGGGGGCAAGGACAAGCTGTCTCCGGGGGGGGGGGGGGGGGGAAAGGGCGCTCCTGGTTGCGGTTGTTTGTCGAGGTTTCTGGACCACCAGTGTGGCTGCGCAAGCAGGCTATCTCGTGGAGGCGAGGTGCGCGTTATGCGGAGCCAGCGGGTGCACGCTGTGCCTCAGGCTCTACTGCAGCAAAGCCACAAAAGCTGTTCAAATGCGGAACGAACTCGTTCCAGCGAGTACTCAATAAGAGCTCCTAGAAGCACAAGAGCGCAGCCTCTTGCATTGCTTTGGTTTCCATGGGCATCCTGAGGCCGATCCAGATTTGTTTCCGCCTCCCGCGGGAGATGTTTGCATGCATGTTGCGCAGGGAGGTTCTGAGCCTGCTGTTGGGGTGTCTTGCTGTGGAAACGACCCCCCTCTCGGGATCTGATGGGACTTGTTCTAGGGCGGGGTTCAGTGGCCTCGATCGGCCTGCATGGGCAGCCTGTCGTTTCTCTGCCTCCGGAAAGCTTCAATAGGATATTCGAGGGCCCCTCGTCGTTCCGCTTCTCCAAACTCCACAGGTAGGGGAACACCTTGGATTTTGCAGCGCTGCCGCAGACTTTGTCAGAGAAGCTTCGAGCCCATGCTGATTGCCATGCAGTGATAAATGGCCACCTCGAACCAGTGTCGTCTAGGCTCTCAAATAAGAGTATGTGCTCTGGTACTTCCAGGACGGCGCTAGGCACTGACAGCAACACACTTTGAAGGCAGTGGTAAAGGTCAGGGCCCATCAGGTCGCGGTTAAGGTAAGCGAGGCTGACTGGCTGCCATTCCAGAATAAGCAGCACTGCAATCTATCATCGAAAGCGGCCCCATTCGACGCATTTGTCGTTTGGATCGTCGTCGTTCGAGGGTCTGCGGCATCAAAAGGAGAAGGCCGCTGCTGTGCTTCGTTGTATTCCTAAGGTGCTGGCCCTCTGGCTTCGGCACAGCCGAGAGGGTCGATCTCCCAAGAACGCCGAGTCTGAGACAACAGTTCGGCACGCTCGTGTCGCTCACGATTGGCAGCGTGCTGGGCAAGTGCCGTGGAGAGGTGCCGCGTGTTTTTCTTTCTCGCGCTCCGATGCCGCGGTGGCTCTCACCCACAACGAGGCATGCCACCCTGCGAGCGCGATTTTGCGAGCAGGCCTCAGGCTGATTCACGAGTCGCACAAGATGCAATCGGGCTGTGCCAGTTTCGGTCTCCCTGGGCCGCCCAAGAGTGGCAAGAGGTGCACTGTGAGACGTCGCCTCTTGATGGGGTCCATCCTGAAACGGGAACCCCCGTCGAAGCCGTCTCCTTCTTTTCAGGATCTCAGTTCTCCGGGAGGTGGCGGCCTTTACCTTCGGGCCGCGCCCCCGCCGCGGCCTCGCAAGAGTCTGTGCGTGGTTGGGCGCGGCACTGTACCCTCGGGACGCGCCACCCCCCCACCCCCCACCCCACCGCGACCTTGGGCCTGCTCCTCCTCCTCCTGCCCCTCCCCCTCCTCCTCCTCCCCTCCTCTCCTCCTCCTCCTCCTCCTCCTCCTCCTCCTCCTCCTCCTCCTCCTCCTCCTCCTCCTCCTCCTCCTCCTCCTCCTCCTCCTCCTCCCCCCCACCCCACCGCGACCTCTGCCTGCCGAGTGGCCCCCAGCCCTGGACAGAGCACCGGCCAGACTCCGAGGCGTGTGGCAGGGCCCCGCCGCGACCGGGGGAGGACGGGGGCCCTCTCGCGGCTGGGACGGACTGTGCTCCCGTGCCTCGCGCCCTTCCCCTCCCGTGGTCGCTCTCAGGCGCGTGCTGCTTGACGTCAAGCATCGGCGCTGCTTTTGCAGCGCGCCGCTGATGCTGCCTATGAGGGGACGCCCCTGGCTGCAGTGGCTGGGGGCCCTCGGGCCCGTCGACCAGCTCGGCGTGCCCTCTCGGCCCCCCCTGCTCCGCGGACGACCTGGTGTGCACCGTGCCGCTCTGGCGTATCCCGAGGCGTCGTCCATCCCCGACCCAGGAACGGTACGGCACACATTGTTCTTGTCGGCCCTCGGGGCCGAGAAGACGTGCACTGCTCCGCGCTGGAGCGGGGCTGGAAGGGAGCCCAGACATGGTACGGTGCATGGGTGCCGTTCTCGCACCCTGCGTGAAAGCCCTCCCCCTTGCGCCCCGCCTCCCTTCGACTCCCCCCTCGCCCCCCTCCCTGCAGGCAGTCTCCTCCTCTCTCCCGGCCGCCCGCCAGGGGTCCTCTCTGCAGCCCTTCCTCTGGCGCTCCTGGTGCACCCGGGCGGCCCTGGGGCCCCCCAAAAGCAATCTCGCTGCTTCCTCAGCGTGCCTTCTGGCAGTAGCTCGACTGCAGCGCCTGTGCCTCTCCGCCGCCTCGTCGCCGTTTTCGCCCGCTCCTCCGCCCACCTCTCGTGGCCTCCCGGCAGCGCCGCTCGCGCGTGGCAGGCTCGCAAGAGCACGACCCACACGGAGCTCGACTCGCACGGGCCAGTCTCGCACGGAGCTCGACTCGCACGGACCAGTCTCGCACGGAGCTCGAGTCGCACGGAGCGCCATGGTCGCACCACCGGATCAAGCGGCAGCCCCCCCCCCCCACAGCCAGAGTCACACGGACCAGGGTCGCACCACCGAGACCCGCACGCTGAACGTTTGGAGAGAGAGAGCGCAAAACGCGTGCGAGTGGAGCTGGGGCGAGCAGAGCTGGTGCGAATGGAGCCACTGCGAGTCAATGACGTGCGAGTTGAGCGAAAGCGAAGCACACGAGTGTGGGTTGAGTGATTGCGAATTGAGTGCGTGCGCGTCTGCCCTCCTCGCCCGTCGTGGCTTTCCCTCGGGGGAACATTGACCTCCTCCTCCTCCTCCGCCTCCTCCTCCTCCGCCTCCTCCTCCTCCGCCTCCTCCTCCTCCGCCTCCTCCTCCTCCTCCGCCTCCTCCGCCTCCTCCGCCTCCTCCTCCTCCTCCTCCTCCGCCTCCTCCTCCGCCTCCGCCTCCTCCTCCTCCTCCGCCTCCCCCTCCTCCGCCGCCTCCTCCTCCCCCCCTCCCCCTCCGCCTCCGCCTCCTCCTCGCCTCCTCCTCCTCCCTCCTCCTCCTCCTCCGCCTCCTCCTCCTCCTCCGCCTCCTCCTCCTCCTCCGCCTCCTCCTCCTCCGCCTCCTCCTCCTTCGCCTCCTCCTCCTCCCCCCGCCTCCTCCTCCTCCGCCTCCTCCTCCTCCTCCTCAGCCTCCTCCTCCTCCTCCTCCTCCTGCTCCTCCTCGCCCGTCGTGGCTGTCCCGCAGGGACTCTGTTTGAATAGAGGGTTGGTGAAGCCAACGTGTTCCTGCGGGGCATGACTTGAGCAACGATTGGCTTTGAAGTATTCGGTCGATCAACGCGCGTTGTGGAATTATTGGTTCAAGCACTGCGTGTCTGAGCCATGCATCTCCTGATTGCAGGAATCGTATCGTGGGCAAGCTGTGCAGGTGCGCACAGATGCAGACAACAGCAACATAGATGTGTGTGTGTGTGGTGGGAGACGGGGGCCCAACCAAAGGGCCCCGCTGCATTCCTTTTGTCTCTTGGGGGACACAATGCGCCAGGCGAAAGCCAGGTGTAAGGCACGATATGGCATCACGCCAGGCGTCTTCAGTGTGTCCACGCGACAGGCTTCCGCTTCGCAGATGACGTCTTGCCGACAGACAAAACACTGCATATCCTAGGCGCGCCATCCAACGTCCATGATACTGCGAAGCCGTAATGGTCTGAGTACACTTGGCCGACATCGTCGCATTCAGATACGTATAACAAGACGTGCGAGCAAGGTGTCCAACGATACGCGATAGGCCGTGACAAGACGATTGTGCATTCACAGATCACCACCAGAGGAACGTGCAGCATATTGGGAAACAGAGTCGGACGCAACACATCGCCCGCCACATCAGCAAAACACAGAAACAGGCAATTTCGGAGCTACTGTAGCACAAACCTGAATTGACGAGCAAGCGGTTGGCCCCAGACCCCGTCTGCGTTTATTTGAGAGCACGGTACCGTCGACAGCACAACTGAATTATTTTTGTTGGGCAAGAGTTTCGCGGCGACGCGTGAGAGAACATGCCGTGCACCACCACGTCCGAGACGAGATGGAGGTGGCCCGCGAACCTCCTGACCGCCCTCTCCCCCTCCCCCCCTCCCGCCCCCTTTCGCCTCCAGACCCTCTCTGCCCCTCCCCCGTCCCGCCTCCTCTCGCCTGCGGACCCTCTCTCCCCCTCCCCCCATCCCGCCTCCCCTCGCCTCCAGCCTCTCACCCCCTCCCGCTTCCCCTCCCCCTCCCCCCTTTCTTCGGATGCAACTCCTGGGAGGTCAACTTCTGATTCTGTCCTGGTCCGAAAACCGCTGGATCCAGCTTCATCTTGCTGAATCCCGTTACGAACAAGTCCTCCTCCTCCTCCTCCTTCTCCTACTCCCGCTTAATCCGGCTTAGTCCTGCGTAGTCCGAGGCCCATTTCGGCGTAACAGCCCCCCAAATGGGGCTGAATCTTTTTTCATCTTTCCGACGAAAACCTCCCAGTATCGGGGGCGGCAAAGAGGGGGGTGATGACTAGGGGGGTGGCTATCATGGCGGGGGCCACGATATTTCCCGAGATTTCATGGCGCCTCTTCTTGCTTCACCCCCGCTGGGCCGCGCACATGCCGCCGGTCATGATTTGCCCCCCCCCCTCTTGGGCACCCCCCTCTTGGCCGCTCCCGACAGTAGTTGCCTCCTAACCTTTCCCCCCCGCGCAGGCCGCGGATCCAGAGGAGGCCATCGCGTCGGCCGACAGGTCCCGGAGCGCGTCGCTGCCGCTGCGGGTCTACGCCACGAACGGGAAGGCCCCTCGCCGAGTAATTTTGGCGCCGTCGTCGTCATCGCCAAGACGTCGGCGTCGTCGTGATCGCCGTCGGTCGTCGGCAAGACTTGGGATTACGTCGGGCCTGTCCCTCTACAGGAAGAATATTCAAAAACAGTCAAAACATAGTCTCTGGGAACGACTGTTCCACTATTTCTGGCCATTTGGGAGTATGTTTGGACTCTTTTTCATTCTTCGTCCAAAATCCGCCTGTAGGGGGACATGCCCGATCTATACTTAGGAGGAGGGTGAGGCATCGCGGAGGAGGGAGATGGAAAAAGGGGGAGGGCTCCTCCGCCGCTTTCAAGTGCCTTCCCTCCTCAATCCCTCTTCCTTACAAGTGTTAGCCAGCGTGAACCCCCCACGCAGTGACTTCTTACACAATCCATGCGGTGCAGTCCAGGGGGTGCAAGCAGTGTGGTGCAATCTGGGAAAGCAGAGCAACGAAAAGCAATGCACAGCGTTCAAAGCAACACAAATCAATGCAAAGCGATGCGACGCGATGTAAAGCAGCGCAAAACAATGCAACTCAATGCAATGCGATGGCAATGCGATTGCACTGCAAAGCATTGCAAGGCAATGCAACTCAATGGAAAGCAACGCAAAGCAATGTAAGGTGACTGCAACGCAATGCAAAGCAATGCGAAGCAATGAAAAGCAATGCAACGCAATGATAATCAATGCAACGCAACGCACGGTAATGCAAACCAATGTAAGCGGAGCAATGCAACGCAGAGAAATGCGAGACATTGCAAAGCATCGCAAGGCAATGAAACGTAATGCAGAGCAGCGCCAAACAATCCAAAGCAATGCCACGCAGTGCAACGCAGGGCAACGCAATGCAAAGCACTGCGCAGCCCTGCGCAGCACTGCAAAGCAATGCAAAGCAACGCAACGCTTGCACATCAATGCAATGCAATACGCTGCACTGCAAAGCATTGCAAAGCAATGCACAGCAATGCACATCTATGCAAATCACTGCCTAGCAGTGCACAGCATGCAAATCGATGCAACGCAATGCAAAGCAATGCAAAGCAGTGTATGTCAACGAAACACCACAATGCAACACAATGCAAGTGGATGCAACGCAATGCACAGCAATGCAATGCAGTTCAACGCTTGCAAAGCTATGCAACGCAATGCAAAGCAAGGCAATGCAACACAAAGCAATGCAACGCAATGCAAAGCAAACCAAAGTGATGCGAGTCAGTGCAACGTTTCTAAGCTCGTTTCGAAACTACTGTACTGAGATGCAGAACAATGCAGTGCGGATACAATGCGCTGAAATGCGATAACAAACAATGCACGCCAATGCACTGCCATGCAACGCAATGCGATTGTAAGGCATTGCAAATCAATGCAACGCAATGCAAACGCAATGTCAAGACATGCACCGTCATGCAGAGCACTGCAAAGCAGTGCAACACCATGAACAGCAATGCACAGCAGTGCAAACCAGTGCAACGCAATGAAGCGCTGCAAAGCAATACAAAGCAATGCATGGCGATGCCACGGCAACGCAATGCGATTGCACTGCAAAGCAGTGCAAAGTAATGCAGGGCACTGTAAGGCAATGCAGGGCAATGCAACGTAATGCAGGGCAATGCAAGGCAACGCAGGGCAATGCAACGCAATGCAAAGCAATGCAACGCAATGCAAAACAAAGCAAAGCAAAGCAATGCAAAGCAATGCAACGCAATGCAATGCAATGCAACGCAATGCGAGTCAATGCATCGCACTGCAAAGCAATGCAAAGCAATGCAAATCAATGCAACGCAATGCAATGCAATGCAGAGCACCTCAAAGCAGTGCAAAGGAATTCAAAGCAATGCAACTCAATGCAACGCAGGGCAGCATAATGCAAATCACTGAAAAACAAGGTATCGCAAGGAAGAGCAACACACAGCAATGCAAATTGATACAATGGGAAGCAGTGTTTTGCAAATCAATGCAATGCAATGCAACGCAATGCAAAGGAATGCAAAGAGATGCAACGCAATGCCACGCAGTGTAAAGGATTGCAAAGAGAAATGCGCAGCAGTGCAAAGCAGTGCAACGCGATGCAAAACAATGCCAAGCAGCGGGAAGCAATCTAATGTGATGCAAAGCAATGCAGCGCGACTGCAATGGACAGCACTGCAAAGCAATGCGATGCATTGTGACGCAATGCGATTGCAGTGTGACGTGCAGGCTGCGCGGCGCCCCGGGCGGCAACGAGCCAGCTGCAACGGGCACCGGGGCCCAGCGGCAACGGCGGCAGAGGGCGGCGACGTGTGGCACTGGGGCTCAGCGGCGACGGGCGGCGACAGGAGGAGGAGGAGGGAGGAGGAGGAGGAGGAGGAGGGAGGAGGAGGAGGAGGAGGAGGGAGGAGGAGGAGGAGGAGGAGGAGGAGGAGGGGGCCCAGGGCAAGGAGCGCAGCCCCTCGAGGCGAGGAGGGGCGCCCCTCGAGGCACCGGCACTGAAGTTCAGTCGTGTTAGGAGTGAAGTCGGAGGCCCCAAGGGCAAGCAGTGTCTGAGGAGCAGCTCCCCCCCGTCGCACCCCCAGACGTGTGGGTTGGGCGGGCCGGGCGTTTCGTCCGAAATTTTACCCTCATGATCTTGAAGCTCGAGATCGGCAGCGGTGTCAGGGATGGAGGGCGGGCGCATTCTTTTGAAACAAGTGCAACATCTTCAAGGACTGGCGGGCAGTTCCTTTTCAACATATGGCTCTTGCCCCAGCGCCGCGCGGGTGGTTTTCAAAATGTTGCTCTCGCCATGGCGCCACGCACATTCGTCTTACAAGTTCGCAGCGGTTTCAAGGCTGGACTGCTGGTGCGCGCATGTGTCTTAACAAGGTGCAGCAGTTTCAAGGATCCGTAGAGGCCTGGTGGTTCTCAAAATTCGGCTCGGTTTTGCGCCGCGCACGTTCGTCTTAAAAGTCTACAGCAGCTTCAAGAATGTAGGCGGTTCATTTTCACAATGTAGCTTTCGCCCTAGCGCCGCACGCATTCGTTTTGAAAATTTGCAACAGCTTTCAGGATCTGTAGTGTTGATGTTCCAGGATTTGTGTTCTGGCAAGGTTTCGGTTTGTCAGGACGTGACAGTCATGTGGAGTCGCGGCGCTGAAGTGCCAGGGAAGGTGTTCTGGCACAGTTAAGGATTGTCAGGACGGAACAGTCGCCTTGATTCGCGGTGCCGAAGTCTCATGAACGGTGATTCGATACGGTGGAGGCTTTTCAGATGGTTGTCCTCCAATGGGGCAATTCCCACAATGCAGATACTGTATAAGGACCAGTGAAGAGGGAACTTGGAGGGATGATGCACTGCAACATCGTTGATGCGGCTTGGGTTTATGCTGGTCCTCCTCCTCCTCCTCCTTCACAATTACTCAATATAAAAATACTCTCCCTCTTCCCCTGATGGCGTCTGGGTGATGGCCGCGCACCCTCCGCGTACTGTTTTTTTACACACAGGATCCCCGGGAAATCCCTGGAAACGACTCTCGCTGAGGCGCCGGCGTCATTTTTTCCCAAAATGCTGCTCTCGTTGAGGCGCCGGCCTCATTTCTGCTCCCGAATCGTTCCGAATCGTGCTCCCGCTGCAGCGTGGGCCTCATTTTCGGATCGGTGTTTGGCCTCCGTCGTTCAGGATGGCGTTCTCGCCCCAGCGCGGGCCTTTTTCTCGCGCGCCCATCCGCCCGCCACCACCGCGCCGCACCGCCACCACCACACCACCACCACCCACCCACCAGCACCAGTACACACCACCACCACCACCACCACCACCACCACAGCACCACCACCACCACCACCCACCAACCACCACCACCACCACCACCACCACCACCACCACCACCACCACCACCACCACCACCACCACCACCACACCACCACCACCACCACCACCACTACCACCACCACCACCACCACCACGACAACCACGCACACACGCACGCACGCACGTGCACCACCACCCACTACGCACGCGCGCGCGGAGCCACAGGTCCGCTACGACACGCGTCCGCGGATAGAGAAAATCAGCGCCATGGTAAGGGATGGGAGGGAGGGGTAGGACGTCAGATATGACGCGAGCGCACCTAGCTCGTCCCCGCCCCCTCTCTCACTCCCCTTCTCCACCTCCTTCCTCACATCCTTCCTTCCCCCTCCCTCACCTCCGTTCTCGTCCCCGTCAGGGCTACTCGGAGCCCCTCGACGTGCGCCTGCCGTGGTCATCGGCATTCTCGTGGCTGTCGGAGGCTCCGTGCTGTCTCGCCACGTGCGGTCCGCCCGAATGCCCGATGCGAAGGAGACAGGCGGTACGGGGGCGGATGGAGTGAAGACGAATCGTACGACGGATTATGGTGATGCTGAGTATGGTTACTTGATCGGGTCACGATGATTTTGCCGCCTGTAGTAACTAAAAGGATGATGATGATGATGATGATGATGATGATGATGATGATGATGACGATGCTGATGTCGATCCTGATGCTTGCGATTGTTACGATGATGAGAACGATGTTGTGATGCACAGGAATAGCATGTTGGAGACGCTCCTGCATAGCTGATGATGATGATGATGATGATGATGATGATGATGATGATGATGATGATGAAGGAGGGGAGGGCGATGATGGCGATGCTGATGATGATGCTGCTCATGATGATGATGCTGGTGCTGATGCTGGTAATGATGATTGATGACGCTGGTGCTGATGCTGCTGCTGCTGCTGATGATGATGATGATGATGCTGATGATGATGATGATGATGATGATGATGATGATGATGATGATGATGCTGCTGCTGCTGATGATGATGATGATGATGATGATGATGATGATGATGATGATGATGATGATGATGATGATGATGATGCTTGGTTGCGTATGGTAAGAACATGCAGGGACACGTACAACCAGTTCGTTGTCGGGCTCTGACGGGGAGCCGCGACCGCGTGGTGCAGCCGCAGCGATTCCCCTATGGTCTGACACACCCTGTTCTGTCTGCACCGCGCCGCGCGGGTGTGACGGCCACCTGTGACCGGAGAGCGACTCCAGCCAGGCAGTACGGCCTGGGGACAGACGAGGCAAGGCGACTACAGATGTGTCGACCCACCGAACGTTATCATCCAGAAGCCCAGAAGCGGGGAGACTTGATGAAGCACGCCACTAGGAAGCATGTCGCGATGAAGCACGCCTGATGGAGCATCCTCGTGATGAAGCGCTCCCCGACGAAGTGCGCCCTCACGAAGAACTCCACGGCGAAGCGTTTCGCGAATTCTAGGCACTCAACGATTCAGCACTCCACGGTTTGAGCACCCACGAAACAGTCTTGACTAAATCAGCCCACGATGGCGCAGTCCACGTCGAAACACTCCTTGGTTAGGAATCCCTTGACGAAGCACTCCTTGGCAAAGCGCGTCTTGGTGAAACACTCCTTGGTGAACGCGCTCTTTGGTGACACACTCGTTGGCGAAGCACTCTGGGAAGCACGCCTCCACGAAGCACGCCGCCAGGAAGCACGCTTTCTTGAGGTACGCAACAATGAAGCACGCCTCTGAGAAGCACGCCTCCGACGAAGCACGCCGCAGTGAAGCGCCCCCCAAAGGAGCCCTCAACGATGTACCGCTCCAAACTGAATCAAGCCACGACGAGGGGACCCTCGATGGAGCCATCCCCGCCTGCCACGATGAAGCGCGCACGAACTCGACGAAACGCCGCGGGGATGCGCGCCTCCGTGAAGCGTGCCACGATGAAGCACGCTACCTTGAGGTGCGCCTCGCCGCGGAAGCACGCCATTAGGAAACCCTCTTTGAGTAAGTGCGCATCCATGATGAGAAGCACGCCACCCCGATGAAGGCCACGGCGAAGCCTTCCGCGACGAAGCCTTCGAGAAGCCCTCCACGACGCACCACTCCACAGTGAAGCGCGTACCTCACTGATGAAGCACGCACCCGTGACGCACGCCACGATGGGCCACGCCACGGTGTAGCACGCCCTGACAGCATCCCCAACAGCGAAGCGCTCCGAGCGAAGAACCTCCGGGCGAGACACGCCGCGATGATGCACGCCCCGATGAAGGAAACATTCAACGTAGCATTCCCCGATGAAACGCTCCTTGATGAAATGCCCCAGGATATGCGCGACCCGAAAAATCACAACGATATGACACGCAGCGCTGCTGGCCAAGTTGACAGCGCGAGACTAGGCACCAGGAAACCACGAGGTAGATTACACGTCGCTGCTGGCACAGTGACACCAGATGTACCGGCCGATCCCGCTGACTGCCTGACGCTGGCGCCGCCAGCGTACGAGGGATACATGAGACTGTCCGGCAAAGGTGGTTCTCCGCCCAATAGCGCGAAGCGCGACGAGTGCGCACCTCGTGGAAGGAAGATACGGTAATAGACACAGACAGTAGCGGGAACCCCGCGTCCGCGGCTCCAGCGACGCCGGCATTGAAGGTGGACAACGGTGATTAGCGGTTTCGTGTAGTACGATTACAGGTGATGTAGAGCGATCACTTTGTTGGGCTATGACGGGGGGCCGCGAATGCGCGGTGCAGCCTCAACGGTTTCCCGATGGTCTGGCACGCCCCGTTGTGTCTGCATCCCGTCGCTCGGGTGTGACGGCCACCGGTGACTGGAGAGCGACTCCAGCCAGGCACAAGCTTTCAAGCCACATTGGATCAAGGCCAGTGGCTTGAAAGCTTGTGCGGCCGCCATGACTGCTTGGGTGCCTCCTGGGCGTCGCTTGGCCTGCGCCCCGACCCGGGATGCAAGATTTGCGGAGTTCGCTGGGCAGCCAGCCAGCTGGCTTCTCACGCAGATTCTCTCTGCTCCGCGCCGTCGTCCTGGGTTTCCTGCGGCGACTGATGCTCAGGCCGCTTGCGCGGAGCCACCTTTTCGGGGCGGTTCGCTCGTCCCCGTCGTGAGGCACCCGCGCGGTGCTTGCTTTACGGCTCCGCTCCCGGCCCAGGACCCGTGCCGCGCGTCCTGGCTCCTGCCGCGGGTGGCGCGGCCTCCCCCACGAAACGTGGCTGCCTGGAGCAGCGGCAGCAGCGGGGGGGCCAGGCGGCCTGGGCCGCCTCCCCACCCGCCGCCTCCCCGCCTCCCCTCCGCTGTGCGCGCCGGCCCCGCCGCTGCCGCAGGTTCGGGGCAGCTCGGCCGCTCGGCCCACCTTTGCCCCCCCCGCCCCTCCACGAGCGATGCGAGGGAGCGTGCGCAGACATGGACTCGGGCACGCGAGATCGGCGACGGGTCCCGCCTCCGTGCGGGGTCGACGCGCTCCGTCGCCAGGTCAGGCTGCACGGGCGGCGCGTTTCGCCGGGCACTCTGCTCGGTCTGGCGCTTCGGCGCTGGATCCACGGATCCTTGCTCTGTATTGGCGAGAGCCCGAGTTTCTTGGATTGGGTCTTCCGGTTACCCGTCTGCCCGCCCTCGCTCCAGCCCGTCGTCTCACGTCTCTCCGCCCTTGCGGCCAATTCGTGAGGAAGGCGTGGTGCCTCCGCGTCCTCGTCCTCCCTCCTTCTCCCCCTCCTGCCCCTCCGACGACGACGATGAGGATGAGGATGAGGCTGAGGACGATGATGTGGATGAGGATGCCAGCGACGACGGCGACGACGACGGCGACGGCGACGGCGACTGCGACGGTGACCGCGACGGCGACGGCGACGGCGACGGCGACGGCGACGGCGACGGCGACGGCGACGGCGACGGCGACGGCGACGGCGACGGCGACGGCGACGGCGACGACGACGACGACGACGACGAAGACGACGACGACGACGGTGACGGCGACGGCGACGACGACGACGACGACGACGGCGCCGGCGACGGCGATGCGTCTGCGCTGACCACGACGGGGCGCGCCCGCCGCCGTCAGGGCCACCAGGCCGCCGTGTGCCAGGGCTGCTCGAGGCCAGGCGGTGGGGTGGGTGGGTGCGCCCGAGGCGTGCGAGGGGAGGAGGGAGGAGGGAGGAGGGAGGAGGGGGGAGGGAGGAGGGGGGAGGGAGGAGGAGGAGGAGGAGGGAGGAGGGAGGAGGAGGAGGGGGAGGGAGGAGGAGGAGGAGGAGGAGGAGGAGGAGGAGGAGGAGGAGGAGGAGGAAGGAAGGAGGAGCAGGAGGAGGAGGAAGAGGAGGAGCAGTAGGAGCAGGAGGAGGAGGAGGAGGAGAAGGAGGAGGAGGCGGAAGCGGAGGCGGAAGGCGGAGGCGGAGGAGGAGGAGGAGGAGGAGGAGGAGGAGGAGGAGGAGGAGGAGGAGGAGGAGGAGGAGGAGAGGAGGAGGAGGAGGAGGAGCAGGAGGAGGAGGAGAAGGAGGAGGAGGAGGTGGAGAAGGAGGAGGAAGAGGCGGAGGAGGCGGAGGAGGGAGGAGGAGGAGGAGAAGGAGGAGGAGGAGGAGGAGGAGGGGGAGGAGGAGGATGATGCGGAGGAGGAGGAGGAGGAGGAGGAAAAGGAGGAGGAGGAGGAGGAAAAGGAGGAGGAGGAGGAGGAGGAGGAGGAGGAGGAGGAGGAGGAGGATTGAAGTGCACCAGATGTCGGGTCAGACGTGCCCAGATTGACAGGTCTCTCCATGGAGCCGACGCGGAAGCCCCCGTCACGGTAGCGGGCGCTGAATTGCGGCGCTGCGTGGTTTCGATGCTCGCGGGGCAGCGAACGACTCCGAGGGTTTCCGCAAGAGCAAGGGAAGGAGGGAGGGAGGACGGGAGGGAAGGAACGGGAATGCGAATGGGAGCAATGACGATGTCAGATCTTTTGCTCATCATTCAACTCCGCTGACTTGCGAGAAAAGGGAGACGATAATGGAAGGATGAGATCATGGTAGTGGTGATGACGATGCTGACGATGATGGTGATGGTGGTGATGCTGATGATGATGACGGTCATGATGTTGATGATGCTGATGAAGATGGTGTTGACGATTCTGATGGTGAAGGCGATGAAGATGATGACGACGATGGTTTTAGTGATGATTGTGATTGGGGTCATGCTGATGTTGTCGATGATGGTCATGCTGATGATGATGCTGCAGTGCTTCTTCTGAGGATGAGGATGACGAAGGAAATGAAGAGGGTGGTGATGGCGACAATGATGTTGACGATTTGGATTACGATGGTGGTGACGGCGATGGTGATGGTGATCCTGATGGTGATGGTGAGGATGATGATGGTGATGGTGATGGTAATGCGGATGATGATGCTGATGATGATGATGCTGATGATGCTGATGATGCTGCTGATGACGAGGATGCTGATGATGCTGATGATGCTGATGCTCATGCCGATGTAGCTGCTGATGCGGCCGATTTTTGTGATGATGATGGTGCCGACAACGACGGCGA